CTGCGCCGGCCGAGGCGTAGCTGGCAAGCGGCAGAGACGGAGCAGGCCGACCACCAGCTGGCCCAGCCCAAGGGAGGTAAGGCACCCACCGGAAAAGGGGGGAAAAATGGCGGACAAAAAAAAATGGCGGACAGCCTTGCTTGGCGACCCCCGTGAAATGGTCGATCGACCCCAAATGGGGTCGCGACCCATAGGTTGAGAACCGCTGCTTTAGTTGAAGTCCCTTGAGATGAACGTAGAAACTGGGTGGCAAGGTCTTGAGTTTGCTTCCTCCTTGCAACTTTGACTTATTCCAGGGAAGTCTCTGAGCAGCCTGGCGTTCACACTCCTTAATTGCCTGGACCTGAGACTGGTCACAATGGGCAGTTTGGATCTGCTGGATCTCCCAATGGATCTCCCAATGAGTTAGACAAGCAGTTTCATCTTCAAGTTGGTCATTGAGCCCTCCAAAGCCAAACTTTCTCCTTCCTACACTTCCTTACACTTCAGAAGTACAACCTTTCCAGGTTCCTAGGGCGGATTCAGCTTAATTGGGCTTCACAGCCTGGAAGTAGTAGCTGATTTTTGACTCATCAACTGGACGCAGATGGGACAAAGCAGCAGTGTACCAATACCGACTCCCCTGATTAATCCAAATTCATAGATCCTTTGAGCTCAGAAAGGCAAGGAGAGTACTAAGCTGGCTCAGGCTAAGAGATAAGTACTTAGTGATAAAGAGCTTCCTTCTCCTCCTCTTGCAAACGTCTGGAGGCCATGTTCTCAAAATCCTCATACCATGAAAGGAACACCTGTCCTTCCTCTTCCTTCCTTCCTCCTTTCTATCTGTTCTTATGGTTGTCTTCCCCCACTATCCCTGATCTGTTACATTTAACAAGGTCCCCAGTCCCCATTTCTTTCCCCCTCTTTCTTCTGAACTCCCAATCCTCCATCTTAAGACATCTGAACCTCTCCTTTCTCTGGCATCTCCATAATTCATACTTGGCTCTCTCCTTTCCTCTCTACAGCAATACAGAACATATACTGACTAGTAATAATGGTAAAGATTTTTCAACCATGATGATGTCGGGAGTGCCCGACGAAAGCTTGGTTGCCTTGTATTTTAAATGTTTTAAAGGCTTTTAATGTTTTAAATGCTTTTAAATATTTTAATCTTCTCTTGGTGGTCAATGTTATTTTTGGTTTTGAGAAGAACATATACTGTATTGGACTCTCCCTTCCTATTAAGAGTGCACCGTACAGGCTGTTCCACGGTTACCAACCCCCCGCAGGGCCTGTTCACTTCCATCCCCTCAACACTGCTCATTGTTTTAAACGCTATTTCCCAATGAGAGCTGTGTTTCCTTTCAATGCTATTTCCCACTGACTGTTAGTTCCCCTACTGAGTGCTTTGTGGCTGTTTTCATATTTTCATGCTATTGTCCCTTAATAGGGCTGCTTTTGAATGCCATCCTCCCCCAATAGAAATAGTTTTCCAATGAATATTACCTCTCCTTTTACTGCTCTTTCCCCCCCCCCCCAGTTCTCTATGAATGTTTTTCGCGGGATGGTTGTCTACTCCCTCAGTAAATTCAAATCTCCTTTCTGGGGCATATGTGGATGCCATTTCTGAGGTTCGTATTCAGGGACACATGTTTAAATCCTCTTTAGTTAAAAAAATCTCAGTTGCATTCTGATCCTTGATGAGTAGTTTCTGAGCAGAGGTAGTCCTTGACTTGCAAACATTTGTTTAGCAGCCGTTCAAAGTTACAACCACACTGAAAAAAGTGACTTATGACCAGTCCTCGCACTTACAGTACAACCGTCATAGCTTCCCCAGGATCTCATGATCAAAATTCGGGCGCTTGGCAGCTGGCATTTATTTACAATGTTTGCAGCCTCCTGGGGTCATGTGGTTGCCATTTGCAACCTTCCCAGCTTGTTTCTGACAAGAAAAGACAATGGAGGAAGCGGGATTCACTTAACAACTGCAGTAATTCACTTAACAACCATGGGGGGGAAAAGGTCATAAAATCAGGCGTAACTCACTTAATAACCTGTTTGCTTAGCAACAGAAATTCTGATTCCCAATTGTGGTTGGAAATCAAGGGCTACCCAGTATACGTCCCCTTAAAAGAAAGATATAAACGAAGCTGCCCTTTTTTTTACTGAAAGAAACATAAAATGAAATGTAAGGAATTTGGGATAGGCAAAGAAATCCTATTCTGTTCCCTTATAGAAAGAAAGACATTGTGAACTTAGACTGAAGGAGGAAGGTACTATATGTGGAAAAAGGGAAGTGGGTGGGGGCACACAATAAAACTAATAAAATCATTATTAAGTGCTGTACAAAGATAAGCAACAGAGCTGTGGCCAATCTTTTCTAATCCCACTGCATGATTTCGTGGCAGATGGTCAAGGTTATTACGTACTCAGTGAAGAGTTTTGGGGGCAGTTTTAGGTGAACAGATTAATATGGGAAACAATGTCTGCTGTTAGATCCACTTCCTTTAATATGCAGTTGGCTCTGTCATAAATTCTGAAGATTTGCTGGATGTCATGTTTCCCCACCTTTTTTTTAACCCAAGCCTTCCTAAAGCTTCTTACACATAAGAAGAATGTGTCCCTCAATATGAGTCTAATGCATGTGAATTTCTGGAAAAACAAATAAACAGAAAAAACAGAACCTCAGCAGAAGTCTAGTAGCACCTTTTCCAACTGTTGGAGAACTCCCAACCAGGCAGGCAGGGTCAAGCAGGGAAATAGCCTTGAGTCCTTGAGCAGCGAAGAAAGGCATAGTCCTGACCCTCTCCTGCCAAGTTGCATGAAACTTTATTTGGTTGTTCCCAAGGGAAGGTAAGAAGTCTGGGAAGATTCTTGTAATATAGGTAGAACACAACAAAATTGCTGACCTGGACCTTTCACGAGTGGATCTGGTTGCTTGCTGACATTAACTAACAAACGTATTGAAAGGCAGCTTTTTTCATCCCATGATGTAGCTTAGGCCTTTTAATATATCTTTTTTAGTTAGGAAAAATAGTCCCAGATGCCTGATTTTTTTTCCACCACAGTCTAACACTTCTCTCCTCCTACAATGTTTTCAGACAAAAGCAGGGGAAAGAACAGGGTTCATTGGGACCATCCAAGATTTCTGTGGGAAGAAGAGGAACTGGGAATGTGGTTAGCATGAGTCATCCATGAATTTGTTATAATTTGGCCTTAGAAAATTACATTCATCGTTCATGGGGGAGATAAATAGCTAAAAAGAAAAAGAAACAGCAGTGGTCTGGTTTAAGTCTACTTTAGTCTCTTGTATAACAATCTCTAATGGAAATGAATGGGAACATTTCTTGAATTCTACCGTAATAATTATTATTCTGTAGGCTCAGAATAATTAATTATTTTAATAGGCTATTTTTAACTCAACAGAGCATTATCTCAGAATTCTTTGTGCTATTTACCCTTTCTACACCACATTTTTCTCCTAAATATAACTTACCACAGAATGACCTTTCAGTCTATCTATCCTACGAAACAGAAACTGGCAACACCTGGACTGAATCTCACAAAACATGAGACAGATCTTGCTCTGCAAATATACCAACTATTCCTACCCCATCTTTATTTGCCAGCGTATAAGGAAAAAAATATACAGAAAAAAATAGCGGCTCTAGCAATTCATATCCCAAAAATCCACTGCCCCTTTCCAGGACCTCGTCTGAATATTTTTCCAAACGACTAGAATTTTCTTCTTTTCAAAGCTGAAAATCTTTTAAAACAGACCAAAAAGGGCACCCCAAGTAATAAAGTGACACACTGTAAACATAGATGTAGAAACTGCAGGTGGAAGGGCTACCTAGGAAAACGTATTTTCGCTCTCACACAGAAAAGAATCCTTCTTGTACCACTCACCTGTAGTGACAAGTCCAGGGAGTGTTTAAATACAAAAGAATATCCTTTGATCTTCAGAATGAC